AGGCCCAAATGCTTACTGAAATATTGCCTGTAACCCAAACCTGATATACGATTGTCATGACGTAAGGTGAGGAAGAGGGGTAAAGAGGTAGAGGAGAGTAAGGGGTAGAAGATGGGAAAGAGGCAGTGAAGTTGGGAGAACAATGGAACGTGGGGAAGGGTGGGAAGGAAAAAGAAGGGGTGAAATCGGGTGTGGTTAGACACGCACAACTTCCCCCAGAGGTGAGAGGGGAACCCACAACCAAGGGGGTGGTAGGAGAGAGTCTCTCTCTCCTACCTTGAGAATATATATTCTTCCATGAGTAGCAGAATGGATCCGTTCCTGCAAGCGACAGAAGCTGCTCCTTCTGTTATAGAAGCTAGTTATGTTATGTAGCCATGATGTTTCTATCATGAACAAATCCACAAGGGCCGTGACGCGGGATCGAACCTACGCACGGGATGTTCCCAGCTGCTCCATAGTCAAGTGTGCCACAACATGGTTAAGCGAATTGCAGTCCCGTGCGTATGTTCGAACCCTCAACACGGCCCTTGTCGATTTGTTCATTTGATATATATCACGCTATTGTGATTTGTGTGTATATTGTTTCTATCATATTCCTGTCTGGGTCTTTCGTCATAAGGCAGGGGGCACGTCATATGACTACTAATATTGTGTGTTGTCCTCCAATTGCTATGGTGCCTGTTATATAGTCACCGAACCCTTCAAAGCCCAGAGTAACCATCTCTTTTAAACTCCAGTGTTTTCTTAACAGAACCACTCCACATCTTCCTTACCTCTCTTTCCTTGCTATCTAGTATTGCTGTGGAAACACCGCACTTGATATGACCTTTCTTTTGCCTGTGATCATCTGCACGTGTTGGGCGCTTCAAGCAGTCTCTCAGATGCGCCCGACCATAATCATCTTGACTACAACCCTGCTGCGTCTACCAGTAACCTCGCACGTGTTGACACCTGTGTTTTGTGCTGGGGATGAAAGGCAAGGAGGAGACGGGCCACCCACAGGTTCCTCGAGTCTGATATGTCTCACTGTGTCAAGGGACTCTCAAAGGTCACATCACCCAGATGTTAGGCAAGCATGAACGGGGTGTGGAAGGCGTCGAGTGCCGGCCATTGTTGAAAGTACACCGTCTCTATTGTCTCATTAATATTGCCTTGTGTTGATCTTGGTGATCGACACAAGGCAATCAAGCACAGTATATTTACCTGCACGTCTGGAACAGGTTGGCTAATCATCTTATACTTGTTCAGATATAAGAGGATCGGACTAATCCCACACACGTTTAGGGGTCTCGGTGATCTGACTTGACTCGGGAAAATTCTTATCTCAGTCATTTGTGTATTTCAATTATTGTTATGGTCTCGGTGACCTGTGTTAATTCCCTGATCTATTACTGTCACAGTGACGATTTATTTCATAAATTGTTAGTGTGTGTTGGCTAATTTATGTATAATTATTAGTGTGTTTGTGACTTGTCATTAATTATCGTGCTATTAAGTCCAGATATTTTTATGTGCGTTGTTAGGGATCATTGATCGTTTGTGTGGGTTACATGCTGGTGATTATTATGCGAGTGTACAGTTGTAACAGCTGCCAGTGTCCCTTGTTACTACAAGTGTCGTAACCAGTATGGATCCGACACTTGAAGTCATGACATGACATCAGTGTGTTAGCTCGGGCAATTCACTCTGGAGCCAAGCATGAGAGGCAGGACTCAAGGTCTCGGCAGCGTAGGAACGACTCCTGCTGCCTGTACCTTTATCCAGCCCTTGATAGTGACGCTCTTCATTAACTTTATTTAGCTCCCTATGTATTAAGTTTGTCGAATAAACCTAACTTTGTTCATTAGTGACTTTCTGCCAACCCTTTCCTAAGTACTACCACCACGTTCTTCTTTTACTACTTAAATTATTGGGAAAATCCTCTGAGCATTGATGCCCCACAGCCTTTACCACTGAATAATAAATGCGGTGTGAGAGCTCAAGTGTCTTTAGCTCTAGAGTGCGTCGACACACTTGTACAAAGCTACCAGACGGTGACGGGATGTACGTGTATGGTCGCTCGAGAGATTAGTGTCCCACATAACCACTACATCCTGTTTGTTCCGCACTTCCTGATGAAAACGGTATGGTTTTTCTTGGTCTACTTTTATTCCGTCAACATCGCTAGCGCTTCCTAGGAGGATATTAAACAAGCGTGGACCTCTGATACAGTGTCCTCTGATTGTGCCTGTAGCACCTCTACTCTTCACTGGCTCTGTTCTGCGTTTCTTGCTAAATCGCTGACTCTAATATGTTGTTGTTATTCTGTGCAAATTTGGGACTTGGCCTTCCAACATTTTTCATGTGTGTGTGTGTGTTATGTGGTACCCCTCTCTCACCTTTCCAGCGAATACATTTTGAGAGCTATGGTAAGATCTCAATAATTTAAGTGCTTTATCGTGTGTCTGCGTGCCGTGTATGTTCTCTGTATTCCCTCTTATTTCAGCAATATCTCCGACTCTGTAGGGGAAAGTGAGTATCGAGCAGTACTCACGGCGGGACAGCACAAGTGATAAGAATAGTAAGAGCATTGTGGTGGAATGCCTCAAAATCCATCCTATCATTTTTCTAGCTGACATTATATTTATACTTGACATACCTTAAATGTTAGGTCGTCAGATATCACTATTCCCTGATGTTTTTACATGTTGCTTTCCTACTCTGGGTAGGTCTGGTTGTCTTGTACCCTGTAATTCATTTAAGGTCTTAATTTCTTCCATACCAAAGTAACTGGAATTTATCACTGTTAAGCATCATAACATTTTCCACTGCCCAATCGAAAACTTTATTAACATCAGGCTGTGGTTTTGTCAGTGTTTTCTACACAAGTTATTTTCATACTGAATTTTGTGTCGTCTGCAAAAGATAGCACAAAGCTGTGATTTGTGTTTTGTCGACATTTGATATGAAAAATTTGAAAAAGCAGTGATGCAGTGCAAACTGTGTTCTGTCGCACTAAGTTTTTTTTTTACTGTGCTTCTGCTTGATATTATTTGATCAACTTTTACTCTTTCCATTCTGTTTGATAGGAAATTAAATATTCTTCGTCCTACTTTACCAGTTATTCTAGTTGATCTCATTTGATGTGCTGTCACTCCACGCTCACACTTAACAAGTGCCATCGCAAAGTGGGTAAACCACGCCTGCATTCTCGTGTTCTTCTAATGCTTCCGTTTATTTGGCATAGTGGTGAAGTAGCTGCGAAAGTGAGAGAAGAACATCTACATCACTGGATGGTGAGAGTGGAGCACCCACATCACCACCAGTGGAGCAGCCACATCACCACCAGTGGAGCACCCACATCGCCACCAGTGGAGCACCCACATCGCCACCAGTGGAGCACCCACATCGCCACCAGTGGAGCACCCACATCGCCACCAGTGGAGCACCCACATCGCCACCAGTGGAGCACCCACATCGCCACCAGTGGAGCACCCACATCGCCACCAGTGGAGCACCCACATCGCCACCAGTGGAGCAGCCACATCGCCACCAGTGGAGCAGCCACATCGCCACCAGTGGAGCAGCCACATCGCCACCAGTGGAGCACCCACATCGCCACCAGTGGAGCACCCACATCGCCACCAGTGGAGCACCCACATCGCCACCAGTGGAGCACCCACATCGCCACCAGTGGAGCACCCACATCACCACCAGTGGAGCACCCACATCACCACCAGTGGAGCACCCACATCACCACCAGTGGAGCACCCACATCACCACCAGTGGAGCACCCACATCACCACCAGTGGAGCACCCACATCACCACCAGTGGAGCACCCACATCACCACCAGTGGAGCACCCACATCACCACCAGTGGAGCACCCACATCACCACCAGTGGAGCACCCACATCACCACCAGTGGAGCACCCACATCACCACCAGTGGAGCACCCACATCACCACCAGTGGAGCACCCACATCACCACCAGTGGAGCACCCACATCACCACCAGTGGAGCACCCACATCACCACCCTGCACCCACATCGCCACCAGTGGAGCAGCCACATCGCCACCAGTGGAGCAGCCACATCGCCACCAGTGGAGCAGCCACATCGCCACCAGTGGAGCAGCCACATCGCCACCAGTGGAGCAGCCACATCGCCTCCAGTGGAGCAGCCACATCGCCACCAGTGGAGCAGCCACATCGCCACCAGTGGAGCAGCCACATCGCCACCAGTGGAGCAGCCACATCGCCACCAGTGGAGCAGCCACATCGCCACCAGTGGAGCAGCCACATCGCCACCAGTGGAGCAGCCACATCGCCACCAGTGGAGCAGCCACATCGCCACCAGTGGAGCAGCCACATCGCCACCAGTGGAGCAGCCACATCGCCACCAGTGGAGCAGCCACATCGCCACCAGTGGAGCAGCCACATCGCCACCAGTGGAGCAGCCACATCGCCACCAGTGGAGCAGCCACATCGCCACCAGTGGAGCAGCCACATCGCCACCAGTGGAGCAGCCACATCGCCACCAGTGGAGCACCCACATCGCCACCAGTGGAGCAGCCACATCGCCACCAGTGGAGCACCCACATCACCAGTGGAGCAGCCACATCGCCACCAGTGGAGCAGCCACATCGCCACCAGTGGAGCAGCCACATCGCCACCAGTGGAGCAGCCACATCACCACCAGTGGATAGTTTTGTCGAGAAAAAAACTTATAAAACATTTTCCATGACTGAAGATAAATACATAATTCATGCAACCGACAAGAACAAAAAAAAAATTAACGATGAATTATCTGACCTTTTTTTACCACAAAACATTTTTTATACATTAAAGAGAGTCCAAAGACGGAATTATTCCTTGTAACTTATTTAAATACTCATTAATATGCATAGTCACAGAGATTGTCGTGTTTCGGAGTGAAGAGGATTAAATGTGATTTTTTATTTTTTTATCGAACTCTAATTAAAATATGTTTACGCTAATGACCAAATTTAGACTCGTTTTTAATCCCTAATTGCATTGCAAATTCTTAAATGTTGCGATTTGGAAATATTCGGCTTTTGTGTTAGGGTGAGGGTGTTGTGGTCTCTGATAATGTTTTTGTTGTCTATGATGTTTTTGTGGTCTCTGGTGATGTTTTTGCGGTCTCTGGTGATGATTTTGCGGTCTCTGGTGATGATTTTGTGGTCTCTGGAGATGTTTTTGTGGTCTTTGGGGATGTTTTTGTTGTGTCTGGGGATGTTTTTGTTGTCCCTGGGGATGTTTTTGTTGTCCCTGGGGATGTTTTTGTTGTCCCTGGGGATGTTTTTGTTGTCTCTGGGGATGTTTTTGTTGTCTCTGGGGATGTTTTTGTTGTCTCTGGGGATGTTTTTGTTGTCTCTGGGGATGTTTTTGTTGTCTCTGGGGATGTTTTTGTTGTCTCTGGGGATGATTTTGTTGTCCCTGATGATGATTTTGTTGTCCCTGATGATGATTTTGTTGTCCCCGATGATGTTTTTGTCTCGGGTGATGTTTTTGTTGTCTCTGGGGATGTTTTTGTTGTCTCTGGGGATGTTTTTGTTGTCTCTGGGGATGATTTTGTTGTCCCTGATGATGATTGTTGTCCCTGATGATGATTGTTGTCCCTGATGATGATTTTGTTGTCCCCGATGATGTTTTTGTCTCGGGTGATGTTTTTGTTGTCTCTGGGGATGTTTTTGTTGTCTCTGGGGATGTTTTTGTTGTCTCTGGGGATGATTTTGTTGTCCCTGATGATGATTGTTGTCCCTGATGATGATTGTTGTCCCTGATGATGATTTTGTTGTCCCCGATGATGTTTTTGTTGTCCCTGATGATGATTGTTGTCCCTGATGATGATTGTTGTCCCTGATGATGATTTTGTTGTCCCCGATGATGTTTTTGTCTCGGGTGATGTTTTTGTTGTCTCTGGGGATGTTTTTGTTGTCTCTGGGGATGTTTTTGTTGTCCCTGATAATGTTTTTGTTGTCTCTGGGGATGTTTTTGTTGTCTCTGGGGATGTTTTTGTTGTCTCTGGGGATGTTTTTGTTGTCTCTGGGGATGTTTTTGTTGTCTCTGGGGATGTTTTTGTTGTCTCTGGGGATGTTTTTGTTGTCTCTGGGGATGTTTTTGTTGTCTCTGGGGATGTTTTTGTTGTCTCTGGGGATGTTTTTGTTGTCTCTGGGGATGTTTTTGTTGTCTCTGGGGATGTTTTTGTTGTCTCTGGGGATGTTTTTGTTGTCTCTGGGGATGTTTTTGTTGTCTCTGGGGATGTTTTTGTTGTCTCTGGGGATGTTTTTGTTGTCTCTGGGGATGTTTTTGTTGTCTCGAGTGATGTTTTTGTTGTCCCTGATGATTTTGTTGTCTCTGGGGATGTTTTTGTTGTCTCTGGGGATGTTTTTGTTGTCTCTGGGGATGTTTTTGTTGTCTCGGTTGCTGTTTTTGTTGTCTCGGGTGCTGTTTTTGTTGTCTCGGTTGCTGTTTTTGTTGTCCCGGGTGCTGTTTTTGTTGTCGCGGGTGCTGTTTTTTTTTGTCGCGGGTGCTGTTTTTGTTGTCGCGGGTGCTGTTTTTGTTGTCGCGGGTGCTGTTTTTGTTGTCGCGGGTGCTGTTTTTGTTGTCGCGGGTGCTGTTTTTGTTGTCGCGGGTGCTGTTTTTGTTGTCGCGGGTGCTGTTTTTGTTGTCTCGGGTGCTGTTTTTGTTGTCTCGGGTGCTGTTTTTTTTGTCTCGGGTGATGGTTTTTGTTGTCTCGGGTGCTGTTTTTGTTGTCTCGGGTGCTGTTTTTGTTGTCTCGGGTGCTGTTTTTGTTGTCTCGGGTGCTGTTTTTGTTGTCTCGGGTGCTGTTTTTGTTGTCTCGGGTGCTGTTTTTGTTGTCTCGGGTGCTGTTTTTGTTGTCTCGGGTGATGGTTTTTGTTGTCTCGGGTGATGTTTTTGTTGTCCCGGGTGCTGTTTTTGTTGTCTCGGGTGCTGTTTTTGTTGTCTCGGGTGCTGTTTTTGTTGTCTCGGGTGCTGTTTTTGTTGTCGCGGGTGCTGTTTTTGTTGTCTCGGGTGCTGTTTTTGTTGTCGCGGGTGCTGTTTTTGTTGTCGCGGGTGCTGTTTTTGTTGTCGCGGGTGCTGTTTTTGTTGTCTCGGGTGCTGTTTTTGTTGTCTCGGGTGCTGTTTTTGTTGTCTCGGGTGATGGTTTTTGTTGTCTCGGGTGCTGTTTTTGTTGTCTCGGGTGCTGTTTTTGTTGTCTCGGGTGCTGTTTTTGTTGTCTCGGGTGATGGTTTTTGTTGTCCCGGGTGATGGTTTTTGTTGTCTCGGGTGATGTTTTTGTTGTCTCGGGTGCTGTTTTTGTTGTCTCGGGTGATGGTTTTTGTTGTCTCGGGTGATGTTTTTGTTTCTATTGACGTTTTAATATTTTATTTTCTGTATGTGTTATCTCTGTTGATGTTCTGTTCTCTCTCACTGTGTTTGTTGCAGACACGAGGCTGAATGTTTAGACATTATGAGTTCTTGTATATTGTGTGCGCGCGCGTCTGGGTGTATATTGTGTACGTCTGCGCCCAGCTGAAGTGTAATAGTCTAGCTGTTATCATCTACCAGTATGATTTGTCTAATCACCTAGTTGTAATTACCTAACCATAGTTACATTACAGTAATCACATATATTGCGTATTCTATCACCCTGCTGTAATGACTTAGGGAGCCTTTCGGCGAGCGGACAGCACGCGAGACTTGTGGTTCTGGGTTCGATCCCAGGCGCCGGCGAGAAACAATGGGCAGAGTTTCATTCACCCTATGCTCCTGTTACCTAGCAGTATAATAGGTACCTGGGTGTTAGTCAGCTGTCACGGGCTCCTTCCTGGGAGTGGAGGCCTGGTCGAGGACCGGGCCGCGGGGACACTAAAGCCCCGAAATCATCTCAAGATAACCTCAAGATAGACTCTTGTGTGCCTTAGTGGTCTTATGCTGTACGTTAGTGGTCTTATGCTGAACATCGGTACAAATATGCTTTAAAAATCTTAACGTATATCCCCCCCCCCCCCCATTACTCCACCAGGTATATTCCATGCGTGGTTCCTTCTAATGTAAAACTATTACCAAACCAACTAATGGGTTTTATTAATTGGTAAAAGACAATTTACAAATGAGGTGGTAGAGGTGCTGGGAGTAAAAATAGAGAAAATAAAATATTTTGTTTTGCAACGCCAGATGCAACGGCTGAGGAATTCACTGAACAGATAAACAAAATAGAGAATTGCCTTGATAATTTGGCACACCCAATACCTAATATTATCTTCCTAGGTGATTTCAACCTGCCTAGTCTAAGATGGAGAATAGCAAATAATAATATTATACCGGGAAATCATACTGGACATAACCAGCCCCAGATTAAAGAACTACTTAGATTCTGTGACAAATTTTCCCTCAACCAGCAGATAACAGAGCCAACTAGGAACAAAAATATTTTAGATCTGGTCTTCACAAACAGTTAAGACATAATCACTGACATTAGGATCTCAGATACCACACTCAGATCTCAATCACTGCATTTACATACACTTCAATTGCTCACTGAAGTACAAACTAGCATCGATACTCAGAATAGATCTAAAAATGATCAAGTGAGAGGGGTTATTCAGTAAATTCAATTTTAATGATAAAAAGACAGACTGGGAGACAATAAACAGGGAACTTAGACATTCAATGGGAAACTGTTCTAAGTAAAAAAAATCCAATAGAAGGGATAGAAAAACTTACTTCGCAAGCATATCAAGTCTGTCTGGAACATGTTCATTTGAGGACAGCCAGAAAGAGGTCCAGCGTAAAAAGAGAACGCAGACGACACTACAAAAGAAGGAAAACAATAACGGAAATGCTTAAGCAGACACAACTATCCCTACAAAGAAGGAATAATTTAAACAGATTAAAGAAATCGAGCAGAGACTGAAGCGTTAATATCAGATTGAATAAATGCAACTAGAACATAATACAATACTAGAAATAAAGAAAACTAAATCTTTATTCATATATTCGAAATCAAATGCAAAAAACCACTGCCAGTAATGGATCTATTCGTACGACTGAAGGTTCATACACTGAGAATGACAAAGAAATTGGTGAAATCCTGAAAATAACGGTACGAGGACATGTTTAGCATAGCGATAAACAGCATGAAAGTAAAAAATCTACTACTATCGATAACTACTTTATGCATGATAACTGAACCCTTGTAAATATAACTGGTATCAACACGAGTGTGGCAGATTTGAAAGAAAAATTTACAACATGCCCATGCACTCAGCCTCGGGTCCAGACTCATGGAAATCATTATTTATAAAGAAATGCAAAGTGCCAGTGGCACAGGCACTTAGTATAATGTGGAGGAAGAGCTTGGACACGGGAGATACCAAATGAGCTTAAACCAGCAGATATAGCTCCTCTACACAAGGAATGAAGCAAAGAATTAGCTAAGAATAATATACCAGTTGCACTAACATCTGTTATGACCCCAGGTATCCTGAAGGAGGAGTCTACCTGTCTGAGAGTTATTCCACCTACCAGACCTAATTGAGAGGTCAGAGGAGAGAGAGAGATTTATTTATGTATGTAATAAAGGGCGGTGACTAAATTATAAGTATGAGCAGAGGATGAGTATGTAAATAAGTGACATGAAATGAGATGTCGACGCTTTGGTGACATGTGAGGCTCGAGGGACGACGGCATGACCTTGAGCAACAGGAGTCGCGTTTTGCTGAGCTCCTGGCAAAGAAGGAACCCTTAGTTGTGTGCTCCTTCAAGAGGAGGTAATCAAACAGGCGTTTATGTGTGAAGCCTGAGGATGACTTAATGTACTAAAGTCAGGAGCAGAAGAGCTGGGAGGCCGTCGTAAAGAAACTTTGGTGGAGGTCTGAGAGGCTGACCTCTGGGAGCCCCGCAGCTGAGCGCCCTCGAGACAGAGAATTCAGCGGTTTGTTTGGGGAGGAGTTGATGGAAGAACTTCGAGGCCAGGGAAGAAGTTAATGGAGAAACTTAAGAGGCTGGAGAAGTGTATGCTGAAATCTGTGGGAGAGCAGAACTCCATAGTGAAGAGTTGACCTCAAGCAGTGGAAAGGAGCAGTGAAGAGGAGTTTCATGTCTCTGTTGAAACAGTGGTGAAGCATCACTAATGTTGGATGAGGACTTCGTTGTGCAGCAGTTTAGGAGAACTGCAGAAGAGCCTTTTTGAGTATTTTGGAGGACCTTGAGATGTACATGGTAGTTAGCCTCACAGAGAAGAAGAGGTTTATGGTGGATATACAGGAATGTATAAGGGGAGTGCTTGAATGCTTATTGGCATGAAATATGCCATGTAAGGTGAGAGATTGATTTATTCTTGTGTTGGGGAATATTTATGTAGATGTTTATGGTGTTTACGTCCCAGGCTGAGTTTTATATACTTTTAGGGCTGAGTGTGCGATATTATTGTGACGAGATTGTAACCCCATTTAGTGAAGGAGTAGTAAGTGGCAAGCCAAGAGTTGAGCAGCCACTTAATATGGACTCTTGATGAAGCTAGGATATGATATTGGAATGCTACCAGGTTGTAGCAGCTCAGTGTTGCATGATAATATATTTACCTCTTTTTTTTTTTTTAGTCATGTATTGTATGTTTTCCTCGTTCATTAAATGTACATTGTTAACCAGCTTTTCCTCTTGTCCTGGTGAGGCTTCCCAAAACGTAGGGGGGGGGGGGGCTAGAGAAGGGATCACGGCTGCGGACAGGGTGGCAGAAAATACTAATTTACAAAAGGGGGGATTGAGGAGATCATTCCAAACAAAAAGAGAGTGGGGAGTCACGGCGGCTCAAATAGGGTGTGTACACAAGACAACGAGGGCCAGTGTTGGAGCTGCACCCCTAAGTATGTGGCGATGAACCCCCTCTCCGAAATCAAAAGGCGTACAGGGTGATCTCCTGAGTAAATTTCAAGCACTCCAGTGTCCATTGCTGGTCGACTGATGGTAGAGGGAGTGTGGCTGCCGAGGTCGGTTGTCTGTTCAAGCAAAGAGTGTTTGGGGGACGTTGTCCGCCTGTACGCAAGTAACAGTCTGGTGCAACAACCAGAGCTTTCTTTGCAGGTTTAAGTTCCATAAGCCCCAAGCCCTTCAGGCCAGAACACATCCTACATAATAAAAGTATCAGAGAGTCAGGTCACTTTTTTCATGAAAACCAATGACCTCCACACCCCAGGCCAACGTGGATTTAGAGCAGGAAGATCATGCCACTTCAGCTACTTGACCACTACGACAAAATCTCTGAGGCATTAGAAGAAATAAGAATACAGATGTGGTATACACTGACTTTGCAAAGGCATTCGATAAATGTGTCTATGGAGTGTGGGGAATCGACATGTGAGGTTTATATTTATTTAATTTATATGAATTTATATAGAATTTATATTGACATTAATTTATATATTTCGATAGCAATTTGTCTGATGTTTTGCGGACTATATTTCTGCAATATTCTCACAAATCGACTCCTTGCACATTAGGAGGGGTATATTAAATTCCTATATTTGCAGCCAATCAAACTACAGTATTAAACTACTTAGATTAGTAATGAAAATTAAAATGTCATATCTCATTGTACAACAGGCTTAGTCCACCAGGTATAAACAAGGATTATGACACCAAATAATCCTCCTGGTTAGGGCTAGCATCTCCACCCCTGTACTGGAGTACTAAACAACTGTACTGCTTCCTCTTCTATACCTGTCAGAGGGCACTAGCTGTAAAGCAGGAATCCTATATATATATATATATATATATATATATATATATATATATATATATATATATATATATATATATATATATATATATATATATATATATATATATAATATGACAGCTACATCAGAGGAAATACTGGTATTTTATAAGATAAGGACCTAAAAATAATTACCTGGAATGTGTCGCATTCTCGTGGCCTAACCGGAATTAATCCTATCTACCTGACATTACCGGCCGGAAATAATTAGATAAGATTTCGGAAAGACACTTCCCTCGTTTAGATGTTGACTGCGTGTTGATGATGGAAGAAGCACTAACTTGATCTCCATAACACTTCGTCCAAGGGGGAATTATAGGAGCTGAACTCGCTCCTGCAACTCTGGTCTTAACAATGGCTGACCTCTCTCCCACTGACGCCTGGCTCTCTGTTTCCAGACATCAGTAAGTGATAGAAGGGTCACATTTACTCTATTTTGGTACTGATAATTAAGTTTATTCAAATGAGATGTTTTATGATGTTAAAAGTTCAAAGACTGCTGGATTAAGAATAATTCCCAATATAATAGCTGGTGAATTTATAGCGTTATGTGGCAATGATATCTCGTTTTCTATTGACGGAAATTT